ATAGGGTCTAGGGATTAAGGTCTAGCGATTAGGGTCTAGGGATCAGGGTTCAGGGATTAATTAGGGTTTAGGGACTAGGGTTTAGGAGGGATTAGGGTCTAGGGATTAGGGTCTAGTGATTAGGGTCTAGGGATTGGGGTCTAGGGATTAGGGCCTAGGGATTAGGGTCTAGGGATTCGGGTTTAGGGATAAGGGTTCAGGGATTAATTAGGGTTTAGGGACTAGGGTTTAGACTAGGGTTTAGGGGTTAGGGTTTAGGGATTAGGGTTCAGGGACTAGGGTCTAGGGATAAGGGTTCAGGGAGGAATTAGGGTTTAGGGACTAGGTTTAGGGATTAGGGTTTAGGGATTAGGGTTCAGGGATTAGGGTCTAGGGATTAGGGATTAGGGTCTAGGGATTAGGGTCTAGGGATTGGGGTTGAGGGATTAGGGTTTAGGCATTAGGGTCTGGGGATTAGGGTTTAGGGATTAGGGTTTAAGGGATAAGGGATCAGGCTTTCGGGATTAGGGTTTGGGGATTTGGGTTTAGGTTTTAGGGCTTTATCTTGCCATCACCTTACCATTTTCCCATAACCTACAATCAGCAGCAGCAACAGTAGTAAGAGGAGTGCTAGGAGTAGTAGCTGCGACTGCGAGTACTGCTACTGCAACGACGAGTCTACTGCAACAACCGCCGCCATCAATTTTGCCAGCTACGAATGATAGTCATTTTCGCTACGTCTGCGAGTGTTGACGTCACCATCACCAGCAGCAGTTGCTGCCTGTAATGGTAATTTCCCTAAATTCGGGTGTCCCAATATAAACCCCAAAATACTATGGTCCTTATTATAGGGACCCCAAAAGGGTACCCCTAACTATGGGAACCCCCCTAGTATGTATCGTTTATGTTTCCTTGACGCCCACTTGTAGCAAGCACGGGGGGAACGTTTTGTTCATTAGAGGGTCCCTTTGTACACTGCCTCTCTCATACGATCATTAGTGTTTGTGGCAGGACATGAATATAACATAATAATCGCAATAATAGAAATATGAGCAAGAATAGCAACAATAGTAATAATACTAATAATAATAGTAATAGTAGTACTAATAGTAATGATCGTAATAGAAAACAGTAATTTTGGAATTCCAGCCTTGTACAGGAGGAGGAAGACTGAGCTGCAGCAGGCGATATTTGGAGCGGGCGCAACGGGTGAAAAGTCGTAGGAAGCTTTTTGCATTTCTTATATCCTAAACCCTAAGCCCTAGAACCATAAAGCCTTAGATCCTAAACTCAAAACCCTATAGTAGTAGGGAACCCAGGAGTGGATCCCTGTAATAGTCCCTATGTCATCCCCAGCAAATAGTATAACATGGTCGTTTCCATGTTCTGCTTCATCCTCCCTACCTACCAGAAACAGGGAGTTTTTTTTATTTTAGATTCGGGGTGTAGGGTTCAGCGGTGTAGGGTTCATAAGTTTAGGTTTTAGATTTAAGGTGATAAGGTTCAGCGATTGGTATTCAGATTCCACAGATCAGGGGATGGCGCATTCTAGCTACAGATCTAGGCTTGGGAGGGCCCACAATGAGGCGTCTAGGCACCCCCCTTAGAATACCCCCCCCCCCCAACCCCTTCGAAAATGCATGATGAGGGGGGTGAAGGTTCATAATTTGGGGAGGGGAGGATTCACATCCTGCTTTTGACAACGCTGGAGAATCAAATTCAGTTCCAAGCCCCCCGTCTTATTAAGCGATTCAGGGATCACTTGGAGGTTCATGGGGCTGAACTCTGGGCTCATAGCCCTACTTACTACATCATCCCCCTAGGATTTTGTACGGGTTGCCTTACCCCTAGTTAAAATGTTTCATGAACCTCCAAGCAGGATTTATGAGGACCCTGGCAGGGCATGGGGACGCCCTTCCGATGTTGAGATACCACGGATGGAGCGGTAAGATTGATGCACATAGTAGCGATCTTCAAGCAGTTCAAGAGTGAAGACTATTGAAGAATCTTGGTGGGTTTCTACCATGACGAACAACTCGGAAGCGCTCCACCTCAGCTTAAAAACTTCCACACCTTAAACCCAAGCCGCAAATCCCCAACTGAACTTAGGCGATGGCATTTGAGCATCCTGCAGCCAAACAGTTCGAGCCTGGCTTGAGACCATGCCTTAGCTTCCATACCTCTCCCGCAGATGCAGCAGTGACTCTGTCACCGGGTACCAAGTTGTGATAGTAGCAGAGCTAACATATCGTACCGCTGTCAAAAGTATGAAATAGTGGTAGCCGCAGCAGAAGCAGCAGAAGCAGCAATAGCAGCCCAACTGCAACAACATCAGCAGCGGGCACTAATCGACTTTGCGAGTAAAGGCCTTGCCTCTGTGGTAAGTGCCCGCAGGTCCGTTCTGCTTAGACACCCCCCACCCTATCTCCCTCTCTCTCTGACGAGCCAACGTTAGATTACCACTGGCCTTACTACTGACTACAGACCCTACCCGTCCACACATACATCAAGCTGTTAAGCATACATCTTGAAGCTGTCCGCCCTTCCTTGTTTGCTGCTATGGCCCAGGCAGAACTGAGGGGGTTCTTGATAATAAAAAAGATGTTCCAAGTTCTGAGGCAGAAACAGCCTAAACCTTATAGAGTCCAAGTACAGCAATATCAGTATATGGTCTGCCCAAACGGGCTCCGATCTAGGAACGCTGGGCCCAACATACAATTCGCGAGTTAAGTATTTGGACTCTGAGGGTAAAGGGGTCAGTCCTCTCAAAAATTTGGGTTGCGTCTATACAGAATCAAGCTTTACCATTGGTCAGCAAGGAATGGAGCAAGGGTTTTAGGATTTAGGGTTGAGGGGTTTAGTGCAGTTTATGGTATTGCAGTTGTCATTTCATGTTCCCTTCCTTCATTCCCTGCTAGCCAGAGTAAATATGCTGCTAGGGTTCGCGCTATGGTTGTTGGGCTTGATAGATAACATAAGGGTGTCATAAAACTCAGATGGAAAGCTGCCACCTAGCTGCTGATCGTAAGAGGATTTGAGAATCCAAACCTCCAGAACTAGGACCCTATTCTAGTTAGGGCTAGCAAAATTCTCTTATTGTTTACTGCGGCCTCATTTCCTGGTGGTGTAGTAGATGGATGGATACAAGATTTTAAGAGCTCCTGACAACGAGTGCCCTCCTGTGTCATGCTTTAAATGCATGGTAGTTCTAATGCATTGAAACCCAAATAAAGAACATAAGCTATGATTTTAAAGGTTCTCCCAGTACGTAGTCAGATAACAAGGACTTGTGTGCTCCATGTTTACAGGCCTCCTTTAAAAAACCCGGTACAACGACAAAAAGTTCACTCTCGAATCCAGCGGCCGCTTTAGACAGTGAACGAACTTTTAGGAAAGTAAGGCTGATAATGCTTGCTGGGTATGCCTTTGGGTTCCTTAGACATTTCCCCTTATTGGTTTTATAGGGACCCATCTATACTAATGTTTCTCAAGGATCTTTAAAGGCCAACCAAGTTTAGGGCTTAGGGTTTTAACAACTTCAGATTCAGAGAGCCGGCAACAGCCTGTAAATCGAGGGAACTTTTAGCAAAAACATCCAGCGGAACCCTGAACAACTCTGACTGCTACTAGTCCTGTTGCACCCTAAACCCAAAACCTTAGACCACTGTATTGTAACCATGAAGATTGCCATTGCTACTCGTATTCGTAATTGTTTGCTACCACTATTGCTGCTACAACTTCTAGCACTTAGACTTATACCCCATCTGTTACCTCCATTTCTACTACCATTACTAGTTTTTACTAGTACTATTACTACTACGATCACTATTACGATTGCCTTTAAGATTGCTATCGCAATTACTTTTGCTATTACTAGTATGATGCCTCTTACTATTGCTAATATTATTACTATTGCTATTACTTGATATTCTTCTTATTCAGGGCAGATGACAGCCCAATGGCCGCAGGTCCCACAGCGCACGGCTGTTGGGACAAGTGCCGTAACTAACCCACGGAGCCTAGTGGACCTGAATTTCATTTTTAAGGAAAACAACCTAGACCATAAAACAAGGGATCCTATTAGGGTTTAGGGCTTTGATCCTACCATCATGTAAGGTAGACCCTGGAATTCTGGGGTATCAACTCTGGGATACCCTACCTGGATCCTACAGACCACACCGTTTCAAGGTTATATCCTTTCTTTTTTGGAACTGCAGGGTGCAGAAAACGGCCACATCCCCAAGGTGGGGGGAAAAAGGTAATACCCGTAAGTCCCAGAGTCTTTCTATCACGGATAACTCTTCTGTCTCGCAATGTACCTGCTACTATTGTTATTACTACCATAGTTCTTATTACTATTCCGCCCTTTGGCCAGGGTGGGGCAGCTGCACTTCTCACGCGGCCCCCACCGCAGGCTCGGCTTTGAAGGGAGTCGTGCTTCCTTTCCTATTCTCAGTATTTCCATGGTGTTTTATATTGTTGCTGCTACAGCAAGGGTCACTATTACTATTCCTTTTGGCGTTGTGCCCTCCTTCCCCATCTATTCCAAGGGTCCCTTAAGGGCGGGGCCGGCTCCAGTATGAGTAGGTGCTTACCATTCATGCTGGAAACAGGGGAATGGGTTGCAGGGACTAGCGCAGGGATTACTATGCAGGGTTACATGCCGACTATTTTAGCAGGTCGTGGCGGTTGGGATAACCGGATAACCCTTTGTTTTTGCACTGGCGAATCAGATAGTTTGAGCCATGTGAGGCTGCTGAGCTATAGGGTGTTGGGTTACAGGCATTTCGCTGTCATGCAGTAATTTCTTCACCCGACGGTGTAAAGAGGTGTGCATGACATCCATGCAGGCTAATGCAGAAGCCTGAATCATGAGGAGTATTGTCCCCTTCTCGTGCTGCTGCAACTGAAGTGTCCCATGTGCCCGCAAAAAAACTCACTCCAGCTGTTTGGATATCAGACCTTCCCGGCAAATCAAATGTTTAGGCCCCAACATAATAGCGAGTGGCCTTGCGCAAAGAAGGCCTGCCCTAACCCATCCACCCCCTCTCACAACCCCGTGAGGCAGGGATTTATTGTGGTCTTGCTGAGCGCGTACAGGGTTTCCCCTCTTGTCAGTGGCAAGCGGACCGTCATGTCATCGATTGCGAAACATCTAGCTGAGCTAGACCACGTAAAAACCCTACACGCCGAAACCGGTATCCCTAAACCTGGTCTTCTTCACTGTGGCTGTTGAAGAATGCTAGGAAGTTCTAGGCTCCAGAAATGAGAAGATGCTTCTCATAGGAACCCCAGAGAAGGTCCCATGATTTCCTTAACGGTTGTCAGTAGGGAATGGGGGAAGGCATCTGCACAGTAATTACAATCAGACCCTGTGGATCCTGATGATTTAGTTGTTTCCTTGTTTTGTTCCTTTTCTTCATTCCCTAAACCACGACTACCTTTAAGAACCTTCCAGATGCCTTTGATATCCTTTGATCTTATCGCACTGCAGGGTGGCGCAGCAGCACTGCTGACAAGACCGCCTCCTCAGGACCTACATGCAAGGGTTCTCTACATGAGGGTGTCCAAAAATTAGGGGTATCGGTTTGGGGGTTCCTGTAATATTATAGAAGTTTGGGGTTTAAATTGGGGTCCCTAAACCCTCTAAACCCTAAACCACCATATTGTATGGAATTGGGAATTCAGGGAGAAGGTTTCGGGGACAGAGATTTTGGGTTCACGACTTGAAAAATAAAGTCGGAGGTATTCGTTTTTAAGAGCTTGTTGAGATTACTCTAAGAAAGGCCGCATGATACTTGGGCTTCACGAGGTTCCGATCGGTACGATATCAGGGCTAGAAGGGTTTCCAGATATGAACATACATAGGCGCGAGTAGGCATCTTCTGAAGCCCTCGAAGCTATCCTGGTTTGTGAAGACCTTTGCTACTGCCTGTTTTTTTCCGCCGTCTAAACTCCTTAAAAGGGGAATTTGTAGCGGACTACTATAAGGGGTTTTTCAGGGGGAGACCCAGTTCACGCTTTGGTTGTGCATGGAGCGCGTGTGCGCAAGATGAATGTAGGAAGAAGCTAGGATGGCAATTTTCAACGTATGGGGCAGGTAGGATGCTCTTCGTGCAGGGTCGGCTCCCAACGGTTCCCTTGTTCGAATAGTGAGCCACTAGAAATGAGGCC